TTATTTGTGTTCAAGAGAAATCTCTGAAAGAGTGGAATAAAACCAAATGCATGGAAACAAGCTCAAATCTGGCAACGAGAAAACACAGATGTACAGGTTAAGTGCAAGATTCAGGAGATGTGCCCCACCCCCCGCCCCTAAATAAGTTTCTAATCAAATGCCAGAATGAAACATTGAAACCTGCCAAAATGTCCTACTTGGCTGCCTTCACTCTTGAAATCATTTCTTTTTATTGTATCTGACTAGGCGGAGAACAATAATGGAAATGCCTACCAACTGATGTTTCTGGCAATTTTGTGAATTATCACATAAAATGAAATGCTGAACTACATTCCTTTCTCCCTGGGGTTTATCTTCACACTCCTATTCATGCTTGGCATCCCCTCTGCTTGGTGTGCCCACAGTCCCAAAACTGAGCTGCTGAAGATTAGACTGTGATATGCTAATCATTTTGCATTTTAAAAAGACTAAATAACCTATTTAAGAAAACCATTTAGGTTTGTATAATTCTTCCCTTCTTCTTTTCCTTTTCTTCAGTAAGCTCGATGTGATTAGCTTCGATTAGGATTATACAATAAGCAGGGAAAGAACACACTTCAGAGATCCCCCATAGAATTTTGCTGGTGGCCCTCAGGCTGCAGATTTTACTGGCTTTCTGGGAGGAAGTGAGCTAGGTGCGATGAGATGACTAAGACAGAAACTGGCGAACATCTCAGGTTCAGTGATCAGAGTTATCAGATTGCAAATGTTTAGGAGGCATAATGTGTTCTGATGAAATTTCCAAGACTGCTCACTAAAAAAAAAAAAAAAAAAAAAAAAAAAAGGAATTTAGAAGATTTCTTAGTGCCAAATTAAAAACAGTAAATATTAAGTATAACTTAATTAAGGAGGATTTGTACATCATTAAGGAAAAACTGGAGGGGGTATATCAAAAATATAGCGAACTAGAGAAAGTAAAAGAAATTAGGTCAGAATTGTTGATCTGTTCCACAGGCATTTCTTGAGCAGCTATTATATACCTGTCTCCGTGTTATATGTTGATCTATAAAGATGAGTTAGTCTTCATCCTTTATCTTGTAAAGTTAATCTTGGTACATGAAAATGTAAAGAGATTAGTTCTTTTAGATACTGGTGAAAATGCTTCCAAATTGGGATAGTTGCTTTCTTTCTCCTCTTGGGCTACTTTTTGTTTTGAAACCAGAGAACCTATGGATCTGGGCTGCCAGTCACTACTTGAGCCAATTAAGCAGAGACAGGGTTGAATCATATATGAACATTTATTCCCATAATGCCAGCAGTATGGGAGAGCAGCAGGTCACCCACGAAAATCTGCTCTGCACCCCACCCCCCATAAGCCAGCTGCTTATATGGGATACAGACAAAGATTACGTGGGGAAGTGGGCAAAAGGAATAAGAATGGGTATAATGGTTACAGATTATAGGCAATGTGGGCAATGTGGGCTGGGGGTTTGCAAAGGGCAGGGGGCATCGGGGACTCCATTGTTGCCTTTCCACAACAAGATTGGATGTTAATCTTTCTATGAAGATAGGCAGCTCCCAGATGAGGAGGATGGGCTGCATTTCCAGGTGAGCTCCCAGGTCCCGTGTATAATCCCCAGCCAGGTTTGAATGTGCTTCCTTTAATCAGAACAAAACAATCATGGTTAACAGAGCATGATTAATATTTCTTATTAGTATTTCTTATAACTAATAGCTAGTCCCCAATATTCTAATTCTACCCCTAACAGTTTCACATGAAAGAGTCAAGCTTCCAAAAGCAGGAAAGGCATTGCTTTGGTTAGAGGTGAACTTTTCACGTAACACATGGCCCACTGAAAAATCCAGACAGTGGCATATATTACTAATGAAGAATTTGAAAACATAGTACAATGTTCTGTAAATGAAAGTAAATATATATGTAATTAGAGGCCTGGTGCATGAAATTCATGCACTGGGGGAGGGGGTGTCCCTCAGCCCAGCCTGCACCCTCTCCAATCTGGGACCCCTTTCACAATCCCTTTCACAATCCGGGACTGCTGGCTCCCAACCGTTCGCCTGCCTGCCTGCCTGATTGCCCCTAACCACTTCTGCCTGCCAGCCTGATCACCCCCTAACCACTCCCCTGCCAGCCTGATCAACACCTGACTTCTCCCCTGCTGGCCTGGTCACCCCCAACGGCCCTTCCCTGCCAGCCTGGTTGCCCCTAACTGCCCTCCCCTGCTGGCCTGGTCCCCTCCAACTGTCCTCCCCTGCTGGCCTGATCGCCCACAACTGCCCTCCCCTGCCAGCCATCTTGTGGCAACCATCTTGTGACCACATGGGGCGGCCATCTTGTGACCATATGAGGCTGCCATCTTGTGATGACATGGGCGTGGCCATCTTGTGCGAGGGCATAACAGTCAATTTGCATATTACCTCTTTATATACAGGATACTGTTCTGTATAACTCATTAACTAACTCTAGATATCTGCACAGTTTCCTTTTAAAAGAAGCCAGTGTGTCCATACCAGCATTCCCTGCCCATCATTCATACACCCACTAAATGGTCGTACTTTCTAATACTGTACAGTACTGTACATAACAGGAAGGTCTTGGTATTGTTACAGATTTTACCAACCCATTCATTAATCCTCCAGAATCCTCTGAGAAATATAGTTAAACCATAACTAACCAATGTTTTCCTCACAGTAATTCTTCCAAGAAAGGAAAGCTTGCTTTAAAAAATAATGGAGGGTTATTTCAGGATACGACACTGGAAGATGATAGAAAAAACAATTATGAATTCCAAGAAAAAAGTAAACAGCTCTAAGAGGAAATATAATTATAGTACACTACTTGACTCTTTTGGGGGGAAAATGTAAGCAGCACAAGAAGATAGAGTCATAACAAAGTAACTGCATTAGGGGATGGGGAAAGGAAGTGAGTTAGTGTGAAAGAACTAAATTCTCATCTATTGTACAATACAGCAAATAGATGATATGAAAAATTATTAAATTGAGAAACAGAAGTTCAGAAAAAGAGAGATATTTTAAAATAAAAGAGAATTACAAATCCAGTGCGTGATCTTAGATTGACAAACCAACTACAAAGGCTATTTTAAAGGCAACTGGGGAAATTTAAATATGTACTAACTTTTATATGATAATAGAAATTGTCATTTTTCTTAGATGTGATAATATTTAGTTATGCATAATAAAGAATATCATGATAACTTTAATATATTTTAAATACATAAACATTTTAAAATACTTTAAAAAGGCACACATCAACATTTTTAAAAACAGATTTTTCTATTTGATTTTGAACATCACCTTGATTTTAAAATGTGTTTAAGTAATTTTGACAATATATCTCTGGATTAGTACACAGCCACCACTATATCCTATAGTTGAAGCTAATTTTTTCTAAGATGACTCTTGCTTTGCAAGATTCTGAAATTTCACAAAACAGATTTAATTACTTTCAGTGCACTTTACTTAATTAGGCAAGAATTCAGACAAACAGATTTTAGAAAGGTTTTTCATTATCAGATAAAAACTAAAAGAGACTGTGAACTAGGAAATTAAATTAACCAAATATTCTCCAAGTATTCCAATTGGTTAATAGGCATGGTTGGTAAGTCTTGTTCAAACTAAAAATTCACATCCTAACTAACTGTTATGGGTTGATGGTTAAGAGCAGAGCAAATGTGTGGCAAATACCAAGGGGATTCCTATGTCAGTAAGATTCTCAGGGTAGAGAGGACACTGGGAATGTGACCTACTTTAAAAATCAACAAAATAATCTTATATTTTAGTGATAAAATTATGATTTTTAACATGTGTTTAATGAATAAAATACCATACCTGAGAGAAAAACACTTCTAGAAAGAATTTCACCTAAAAATGCATTTGACACACAAAGTAATATGGTGCAAATTTAACAGAGTTTTTAGTTGGTTGGTTAATATTTGTATCACTTAAATCCCTTTTGCAGTTCTATAAGGAAGATATCTAAGGTGTAAGGCTTGATCCAATTTTTAAACTATTATATGAATAATTGGGATAAATGAAAGATCATTTAAAGAAAGAAACCAATACACTAAGGGAATATCCACACCACTTAGTTAATTGGAATGGCATAATAATACAGTCGTATTTTAATTTGGTGGGACAGTGTTGACATGTAACTACTAATCCACTTAATTGGTTGATTTTAACTCATCAATAAGTATAATTAATTATTATCCCTTCATTCAACAAATAATTATTTAGCATCTATATACAGGTATGTGTGCTGGAGACTGAGAATACAGTAACAAACAAGATAAATATGATTCCCACCCTCATGGATTTGGAAAGACAGGTCAAAAAAGAAATTTAAATGAAATATAACCAGTGTTCTCAGGGGAGAAGTCAATGAATGACTTGAAAGCACATAGCAAGGAACCTAATCATGTCACTGAAAAGATAAACCAGGCACCTGACAGCCCTCTCTGTAACCAACCCCTTTCCTCAGGGTTGAAAATTCGAGAGTAAGTGCAGAATCCCAGTGATGTTGGCGGCTATGCAGGAAAAGGGCTGTCCCAGCTGAACACATGATTCCTCTGCAGAGCACTGTCTCCATTAGCAATGCAGTTTATGCTGGCTTTGTTTTCCTGGAAAATGCATAGTAAGCTTTGTATCCCAAAGAATGCTGGGCGGGGCACTTGCCAGACTTATGAAGGTGGAATGATGATGGGTAGCTCTTGAGACAGGTGACAGGGTCGAAGATAAGCCTGCTCCTAACCTGAATATAGATATTAATAAGTATTGCAGCACCAAGTAATTCCAGAGAGACTATTAAAATGAATCTGGAACACCTCGATTATCTCCAAGCATTTGGGTTAGATGACTGGGGGAGGACCAAATAAGTAAATTGGAAAATTCCAACCGTAAGCAAAATGTGTGCTGATCTTGTGAGCCAGATTTTCATTAGATTTGAGAATAACTGGTGTGTTGTTGTTTGTTTGTTTTTTCAGAATGTCCTCATTGTTGAGGTAAGCTGACTTTATACCCATATTTGGAAGTTGAAAGGATCAATGGTGAGTTTTAAAATGTAGAGCTTGTTATCAAGTTGCCCAAGGATTTATTGAGTTCCCCTGTGTGCATGGCTCTCCAAATTTATTGAGTAGGAGCCAACTAGAATCAGGGACTTGAAATAACGCATTTAAAAGGTTTATATATTTAATTCCACACATGTCTAAATTGGTCATTATACCCATTTGTGAATCAGACATTTTTACAGAAGAGAAAACTAACCCACAAAGCCAAATTTACTTCATACTTAAGCCAAGGTTAGGACCCTCTTCACCCTTACCTCAGTGTTCTTGCTAATGACTTTGAGTAATTCTACCTTTGCATCGAATCATAAATACAATCAATTTTAAAATGGCAGTCCAAAGGAAAGCTATGAATTAATTTAATTGGTTCTGTTTTAAAAAGAAGGAAGAGAGGGAGGAAGAAAAGAAAGAGTGGAGGGGAGAGAGAGAGAAAGAAAAAGATAAAGGGAAGGAATAAACGAAAAGAAAAAAGGAAAAAAAAAAGATAAAGGGAAGGAATAAACGAAAAGAAAAAAGAGAGAAAACACAGGCCCTGGGGCAGCAGTGGGCTGCAAACGTTCCTGTTTCCTTCAAGAGCACACCTGTCTTATCAGCTGGCAGAAATTCAGTGGGGGGAGGGGCTGTCTTCAAGCTTTTGTTACACAATTGCCTGTGTGTGCCATATGTATCTGCAGTTCTGGCTCAGACATAACCCATAAAGTAGACCCTCTAGCCAAATGAATTGCCCAACTCTGGCTAAATTCAGACCTCTTGTTTTGATAATCAGTTCCTGACAGCTGATTTCTGTCCCGAGGACAATAAATTGCTGCTGCCCATTCTACTCTAATTGAGCAGCAGCTCATCAGCGGAGATGAGCCTCAGCTCACTGCAGGCTCACACCCTCAGAATTCAAGGGCCGTCACCAGCTGCCGTCCAGACACATCTCACTTCCTAGCCGTGGAGCCCCCTATTGAGTGGGGAGGGCAAGGGGGAGGTGTTTATCCATTCAGTGTATTCAGATGTACATCCCCGGTCCATGAAAATTCATGCGTCCTGTATTGTGTCACATAACCTCAGGGCCAAATCGCAGTCCTTGAAAGTGTGTGAGCGAGTCCAAATGTACTCAGGGAGAGCCCCACATGCTCTCCAAAGGCTGAATTTAGCCTTTCAACCCAGCTCAGAGTTTGAGGAAATACTCACCAATGTATTTCCACAACCGAGCTTCCAGAAAGAAGCACCAGTCCAAAAAATAGAACCAATTCTGCCTCCTACTTTGACTCCAATTTGATCGCAATTCTAATAGGGATGCATTATTAATAAGGAATATAATTATCTGCCTGAATGAAAAATCTACTATGCTGCCCAAGTGCATTCAGTTGAATTTCTTCTCTTTGCAAAGGATGTTGTTGAAATGGGGACCATGAAACCGCTGCTCGGCAGCATAGGAAAAACACAAGCCCAACATGATTCAGGTGGCCAGGTGAGGAGGACGCACATCATTGTTTCTGTCTTTCCAAACGAGCCCAAGAGGGATGCTGGTACAGGATGCTGTTTTCAGAGAGTGCAGTCTGTTCCAAACCAGTGACCTTCTGCCCTGGGGTGCTACAGTTTGGCCACACTGTACACACAGCCCATTGAACTGCGGGCCTGAGAGAGAGGAAAGGGAAGAGCACATGCTTTGCTGTGGCTGAGCCCCTCTTGACTGTGCCTCGAGCTGTTTCCAGGAGCAGCTGGCTGGGCCCCAGGGCCCGGGCCCCCTCCCTTCCTTTATTGAGAGTCACTGAGCTGGTGCCGCAGTAGCAGAAGCATGAGTTGGAGGGCTGGGATGATGCCCCATGTGCTCAAGGGGAAAAAATACATATTTTAAATACTACATGTTTTAATGATATTTCATTTTATTTGCAATTCACAGAGATTTTATTTGGATCACTGAAGCTTTTTTTTTTTTTAATGATAGTTTGTTGGTGAAGAGGACACCTAGAAGTCATGGCTTTAGACCTGACTGTAGGTGTTTTTGTTTTCTGTTTGTTAATGGGTTGCTTCGTGGTGGTAGTTTGTGTATAAGAAATTCCCATTTGTCGGTATTCTGTCTGAAGTGGAAGCTGCATAGGTTTGAAAGACCCACAAATTCCCAGCCTTGCTAGCGAAACTAGAACTCTTTACAACAAGGGGCTTACATTTCCTGCCTTGCTCCGCTCACAGGAACTCAGTTGTGTGCATGGATATTTTGATATCTAGGTTTTCCATAGAACCTTATCTCCAAGAGCTCAGAGAATCAGTTTCAGGTGGAGGAGGGAGACTCGGGCTGTCTGGACTGACACAGATGCACAGGATTCCCGCCGTGGCCGCCATCCCCACATGGGACTGGAGAGGCACGGGTAACGGTTCAGAGGCATTCTCATACCAGGCAATGCACAGTGCTGACATGCAGCGAGCCTGAATTTTAGCACACGAAGGGGAAATCCAAGTCATCTCCCCACCACTCCAAACAAAAGTTCAGTAGCACAAAGAATTAAGTGAACAGCATAGGGAATAGTCAATAACATTGTAACTAGAGCTATTGTGCTGACCATTTTGCAATGAATAAAAACATCAACCCATGCCTGGCTGCAGTGGCTCAGTGGTTGAGTGTCTACCTATGAACCAGGAGGTCACAGTTCAATTCCCAGGCAAGGGCACATGCCCAGGTTGTGGGCTTGATCCCCATTGTGGGGTGTGCAGGAGGCAGCCAATCAATGATTCTCTCTCATCATTGATGTTTCTATCTCTCTCTCCCTCTCCCTTCCTCTCTGAAATCAATAAAAAAAAATACATTTTTAAAAAACATTAAACCACTATGTTGTACACTTCAAACTAAGATCATATTGTATGTCATCTGTAATTCAATAAAAAAAACTTCACAGAAACAAAACAATAACAGAGAATTAGCAGAGCAAATATCTATAGATACTATCTTCACACTTGCCTTCAGACGTGTGTTCTGGAGGACTTTTCTCATCTAGGGCAGGAGGATAAACAAGCAGCTTGATTATTTATTATTCTAACACTGGAGGTGATTTTTTTTTTCACTTGCATAGGCAGACTTCAGCTTGATTTTTATAACTTACATTTGCTCTCCAGCCTCTGGGATAATTTGGCCACAGTTCTCATTAGCAAGCTGAACAAACATTGCAGCAAGAGAAGCATGCTATGGATGGGTAATGTGCCAGTGCTATTTAGCCAGTGACTCTTTATTCGAAAACACAAGTTTCATTCCTGCGTGGGATGTATTAAATCTAGACAATGTCAGTTCTGGGCAGATAGACCCAATAGTGTGTTCCTGTCCAGTTATTGGTTTGGGGAATATAATCTGGATGTAGTTAAAGTTGGACAGGGTTAGTAAACAGAAATCTTCCAAGGAAATAATGTAAGACACTGTTCAGAAAAAGTTTTAACTGAAAGACATTCACTTCAGACATTCCGTTAATTACAAATTTCTGTGTCACTTATAGCAACAACATTAATAAAGTAATAACAGCAAACACTAGTAAGTGGCTATGATGTTCCCGACTCTGTTCTAAGAGCTATATACACAGATTAACACATTTAATCCTCTAAGGTAGATGCTAAAGTTATGCCCACCTTACAGACGAGGAAATTGAACATAACAAGGTTAAATAGCTGGCCAAGGTCACATAATTGTAACTGTAGAGTCAGTATTGAACCCAGGCAGTCTGGTTTTAATCACTGCTCTTACGCTTGCAATATACCTGTAACATCTGCAATTGCAAACAGAAGAGTAGGACTTGCACCCATTTACCCAGCTAGAGATAGGTCACTCTGGCTCCCATCCTATTCAACCAAGTCTCCCTCTTATTCCATGACACTCTGAAGGTTTGGCTTTCTCAGCTGGCTTTTCCCAGTCTGAATTGCTATGCCTGTTCTAGGGTTTGCATTGCTCACTGTAAAAATCACTATTATTGCTACAATCAGGGTTTCCTAATGTTCTTTTAGCTAGCTCAGAATCCCTGTTTCTTCTTTCTTTCTGGATTTCTGAATCTTTGTACTTTTTGTTCCTTTCTCCTAATTGACTCTTTCCTCTATGTCCAATGACATCTTTTCTTCTGCTCGTCCGTCTCCTCTGATTATTTTTCTCAAGAACCTACAGTTTGGACGGTCAAGTAGTGACACATAATGTACTAGTAGTCCCCCAGAAAATAAGTTCCTTTCCTCTAGCATGTTCTGTGAGCAGGAACCAGTTGGTTTCTCCATGTGGAAGTATCTTTGGTCACAGGAATCAAAGCGGTGGTGGGCAGTACCATGGAGGTAACTTCCTCAGGGCTCTAAGTCCATTGGCTGCATCAAGGTATAGTTTCATAAAAGCAGGCAAGTGTATCGCTCACCTGCAATACTGTGACAAACAAACACGGACTCCAAAACATTGGAAGGAGCTTGAAAAATCATTGGACCATAAGCACATTTATTCTGTCTCAAGGCCTCCAATATAGGAGAGGTATGGTCTTTTCCTTAAAGATCCTTTTCAATAAAAATCATCTTCCTGTCAATAAATTCTTCTTTTGCTTAACCTGAGTACCTTCTACTGCATTTAAATCCATTTACTCTCCTTCTGCCCTTAATAGAGATGAAGAGCTAATTCTTGTCATCTGCATTGTGAACTCCAAGCATTCTCTTCCTCAAGCTGAACAATTCCACTTCCTTCATATTGTCTCCCAGGTTTTGCTTCCCAGCTCTGTATCCTGCCGGGGACACTGAGTAGTGTGAGGATCACCTCTTAGTTGCAACAGCCTGCACACCTACTCCCGTACTGCAGTATCGTAATACCTCCTGTGTGAACTGCACTTTGTGCTTTTCAGAGTGTTTGCATTGGCATTATGCCACTGGATACTGCTTTGGAACAACATGCCTACATTACTAACTCATGCATACTTCTTAGTATCTGCTGGGCTGCCTGAGCCCTTTCTCAGCTCCGGATACCAGGAGTACAGCCATTCTTTATTGTATGTTGGCTTGTTTGTCTTGTCTTCCTGAGTTCTCGCTAGGGTCCAGGTCCCTGCTGGGCTCGTCCTATGCATTGCTTATCACGTTTTTCACTTGCTTCTGCCTAAATGAAAAGTCCTCACCATTGAAGTGTCAACACTAACATATGGTGGCTTTATGCTTGTTATCTACATTTTGATTTTTTTTTTCTTCTCTCTCTCTGCTCAGATACTGGATTTGAGATTCCAAACTTATTTGTGGTGGGTTATGCCTTAGATTACAATGAATACCTCAGAGATCTGAATGTACGTGTTGCATGCATATCCCTACCCCCATTTCACAAGGACTTCACAGTTTTATCAATTTAACTAATTATTGCCCTAGCCAGTTTGGCTCAGTGGATAGAGCATCGGCCTGCAGACTGAAGGGTCCCAGGTTCGATTCCGGTCAAGGGCATGTACCTTGGTTGCAGGCACATCCCCAGTAGGGGGTGTG